TTCTGTTTTCCTAATGTGTGAGTTCACAGCTATGAATTTCCCTCTGAGAACTGCTTTCATTGTATTCTATAAATTCCGATAAGTTGTGCTGGAATTTCCATTAAATTGTAGATATTGTTGAATTTCTTGTTTAATTTTATCTGTGACCCATTGGTTGCAGAGTAGGGTGTCATTTAATTTCCATGTATTTAAGGTTTTTTTCTGGTATCTTTCGGAATTTATTTCCATTTTCATTGCACTGCGACCAGATAATGTGCATGGGATAATTTCTGTTTTCGTACATATACTTAAGCATCACCTATGGACCAGTATGTGGTTTATTTCAGAAAATGATTCATGTGCACCTGAGAAAAATGTGTATTCAGCTGTGTTTGGGTGGAACACTCTTTATATGTCCACCAAGTCCATTTGTTTCAAGCTCTGGTTCAGTTCTGTTATTTCTTTGCTAAGTTTTTGTCTGGTTGACCTATCTTTTGGGGATATAGGAGTGTTAAAGTCTCCTGTTAAGATTATGGTATTGGATATTAGATTTTTCATGGCCATTCAGATTTGTTTTATATAGGTGGGTGCTCCTGTGTTTGGTGTATACATATTTAGGATTGTTACCTCTTCCTCTTGAATTTTTGCCCTAACCAGTATATAGAGGCCTTCTTTATTTCGAGTGATCATTCTTGGTTTGAAGTTGAGACTGTCTGAGAATAGGATTGCTACCCCTGCTTTTTTCTGTGGTGCTGGGTCATGTAATATTGTGTTCCATTCTTTGACTTTCAGCCTATGGATATCTTTATGAGTTAAATATGTTTCTTGTATAAAGCATATTGTTGGATTTTGTTTCCTAATCCACTGTGCTAGTGTTTTTCTCTTAATTGGTGAATTGAGTCCATTTATATTGATGGTTAGAATTGAGATGTATTGACTTAGGATTGACATGTTATTTACCTGTTGTCATTTACTCCTTTTTCTCCTGGGTTTAATTGCTTGCCCTATTTAGTTGGTTGCTTCTGATCTCATTCGTGGAGTTCTGATCATTTTGGTCCCTTTTTAGAACATCTTTCAGTAGTCTGTGTAGGGTTGGCTTTGTCATCATGAAATTCTTTAGTTGTTCTTTGTCATGGAAGTATTTCCCTTCTCCATCAAACTTAAAAGAGAGTTTTGCAGGGTATAGTAGTCTGGGCTGGAATTTGTTTTCATAGAGGAGTTGAAGTACTCTGCTCCATGCTCTTCTTGCCTTCATGGTTTGTGTAGGAAAGTCGGCTGTAATCCTAATTTGCTTTCCTTTTAATGTGATCTGCTTCTTTACTGGCTTTAGTATATCATTCTTGCGCTGAATTTCTGGGATCTTGACTATTATATGTCTCAGTGTGTTTCCAATGGGGTTGAGGTTTCTTGCCATTCTGTATGCTTTAGTTCCCTGAATATCAGATTGTTTCCTCATATTTTGGAAGTTTTCTGCTATATCTTTTGCCCCTATTTTTTTAATGTCCTTTGTATTGACTCCTTCTTTCTCATTGATGCCTATCATTCTCACGTTGTTCATCTTTGCATCATCTTGCAGGTGATGGATTATTTTTACCTGCATCCTAGTTGTTTTTAAGAGATCCTTCCTTGTCTTTTCACTAGATGCATCAGCGTCTTCAAGATCTGAAACTCTGTCTTCACTTTCAGTTAAACGGTTTTGTAAGCTTGTGATTGAGATTTTAATTTCCTCTATATCTCTTTGACTCTGCTTCATGCGATCTATTTCTTTCCTGTATTGATCATTTAAGGAATCTGTCATTTCTCTAATCTCCTCTATTTTTTTTTATCAATGTCTTCTTTAGAAGCAGTTATAAATTCTTTTACTGTAGTGTTTTTTTCAGATTGGGTTTCCTCCCTATGTTTCTGTAGTTCATTCTTTACTTCAGATGCTATGAGTTCTAGAATTCTTTTTTTATTTCAGAAAATAGTTCCTCTCTGAGTTCCTCTATAACTTTCTGCTGTTGCTTATTTACTATCGATGCTATTAATTCATACATTTGAGCTGAGCTAGTAGAATTCTGCTCTGAGTTCCTCTATGACTTTCTGCTGTTGCTTATTTACTATTGATGCTATTAATTCATACATTTGAGCTGAGCTAGTGTCCTCTGCACTTGTTCTGGGTGGGCATTGGGTTTCCTCCATATGTTTCTGAATTTGATTCTTTACTGCAGATGTTATTAATTCAGGGATTTCTTTTTTCATTTCCAATCTGAGTTCCTCTATACCTTTCTACAGCTGTTTCTTTATTTCAGAATCCGTTGATTCATTGCTTTCAGCTCTGTGATTCCCAATTTGTTCTGTGTTAGTGTCCTCTGCACTTGTTATGGGCGGGCTTGCGTTCTGAGATTGCATTTTGCTCCTTCTCATTGTCATTTTGTGTAGCACTGTCTTCTGACCTTTGTTGTAGAGCTTTGTTGCAGTTATAACCTTAGCACCTACTGAAGTTCAGGTGCAGATCTACAAAGTTTGGATTTATCCAGTTGTGCCTGGCTTGGGTCTGGCTGCTGTGCTCATCTCCTTCTTCCTGCTTCCCTTGGGGGTGAACCTGTTTTGCCCCTCTGTCAAGATGTTCTTCTCTTGGAATAGCTCAGTGGTTCTGTCCCCTACACTCTCTGCAGGGATTGCAGCTGCAGGGTTTCACCCCAGGCCTGTATGCCAGGCCTGAGCTGAGTCTGGAGGGGACAAGGTAGAGTAGGGGGGAGAGGCAGCTCACCCTCGCACTCACTGGCCCTGAACTAGCACTGGATCTTGAGGTTCCAGGAACACAACCGAAATTCCTACTCTGTGGGCGGTGTGGGGAGGGTACTATGGAGTGATGGGGGGCATCACAAGAGGGTGAAACAGGGTGTCACCCACTCTGTGCCTGGGCTGAAACCAGTATATCACCTCAGCACAGGGTATCCGGAAGCTCTCCCACACACTCACCAGGCCTGGGCTAGGACTGGATCTGGGGGTTCCCCAAACGTGGCAGAAATTCCTTCTGGACAGGCAGGGTAGGGAGGTGCTTCGTAGTGGTGGGGGGCATCCCAAGGGGGTGGAAGAGGGTCTCACCTACACTGCGCCTGGGCTGGAACCAGTAGGTCCCGCAGGAGCACGTTAGCCAGAAGCTCTCCCATACACTCACCGGGCCTGGGCTATGACTTCTAGCTGCTTTTAGATACAATGCATGAAGTATAATTCACTGCAAAGGCAGTGAATTAAAATGTGGCTAAGGGTAAAATTCAAAAACAGTGACATTCACTTTCTAAAACATAAAGGATACATGTACTCTACTAAGACATTTAACATGTGAATATGAAATACATTTACTGTTTCAAAAAACATGTATGTCATGAACACTACAATTTTTCAATATATAAGGCTACTAATATTAGAATGGTAATGAGGTACGTCTCTAAATATGAACATTAAATGCTATAAAATATTCATATATTATTCCAAAATAGCATTAGTTAATATGTGAATAATTTTGTTGGCCAAGTTACTATGAATACTTAGCTAATGAATAAATGGTTCAGATGTATATCCCAAGTTCCAGATACCTTGTTGCCAAAGAAAATAATTCTGCAGCCAGGCATGGTGGTACACACCTGTAACCCCAGCACTCCAAAGGCTGGGGTGGGAGGATCATTGCATGTTGTGGACCAGCCTGGGCTACAAAGTGAGCCCTAGGCTAGCCTGAACTAAACAGTGAGACCCTGTCTCAAAAAAAAAAAGAATTCCTAAGTTTATGAAAATAAGTGACCTACTAAATGGAATTATAGAAATAAGGTGTTTGAGAAGATTAAATGACTGGTAGTTTTCTCTCCCTTTGCCTATCTATGAAGTAAGAATGGTCCTGAGTAAATACTAAACTCTGAAATGGTGATGTAAGTCACATGCCTACAGAAAACCAGCTCTATGATGTGTCTTCCTTGTGAGCTAGCAACTGAGCCAAATAAATCAATGTTACCTTCCTGCTACCTTTTATCTACCTAAAGAAGGAAGGAGGGGCAGAAAATTGATCTTCTAAATATAGTGTCTGAAAAACTGAAAGGTGTGTGGTGATGACTCCATCTTCCAGAATTATCATCTGCATTCCAAAAATACCTATTTCTTTATTTTCAGCCTTTAAAAGCATATTGAATATACATTACCTTTAATGCCCAGCATTGTTCTAATATATTTTAGAACCACTCAGGATTGGAATTTTGGAGTAATCATTAAATTTTTGAGTCATAGCATATTATGACTTCAGAAGAGCATATCAAACACACACACACACACACACACACACACACACACACACCTCAACTAAGTTTCTAGACCTTAAGAGAAAGGTATTTAAACTAAGGTATTTACAATAATATGTTGAACTAGGGGCCGGGGAGATGGCTCAGTAGAATAAGCCCTTCCCTAGCAAGCACAAGGGCCTGTGTTCAATCCTTGGCTCCGCAAAAAAAAAAAAAAAAAGTGTTGAACTATAACTTATAATTACAAATAAACTTAAAACAATGTGAGTATTCATAAATGAGAAAAATGTAGTACATTATACTTTTTCCCAACAAAAGATTTTTTTAGAAGTTCTCATTTATTCAGTAATAATATCAAGTATTCTCAAGTAGGATATATGTAAATCAAAATACTGATATAATTTTGAACTGAAATATAAAATTTAGAAAATATTTTCTTTTGCTTTCAAGAGATAAATCCTAAGTTCCTCTCATTAAAGGACATTGTTTCAATACTAGAATATGTGAGTTATTCTTATTCTTCAGTCTTTTCTGAAACTTGTTCCACCCTGGACAAATCTTCTTCATATTTCTTCTTGAGATTCCTTAAATACATTCTCAGGCTGTCTGGATCCAACTGAGAGTTTCGAGCTGTCTGAACAAGTCTGGCTGCTAGATGGTACACGGCTCTCTGTCTTTCCATCTCAGGAGTACTGCTTTGGTTTTGCTGTTATTAAAAATATATAAAAATTTTAAAATACTATGACTTTCATGTTGATCATAGTTTAGCACAATCTATTTCTTCTCATAGAAAAATATGAGACTCAGGAATAAATAATACCTTTAGATAAATTGGTTTGATCCAACTAGCAAAAACTACACTGTAAGAAATAAAGAAAAAGCCAGGTGTGATGGTGCACACCTGTAATTTCAGTGCTTAGGAGGCTAGGACAGGAAGGTCCCTGTGAGCCTGGACTACATAGTAAGATCCTATCTCAAATAAATAAGAAAACAAGAAAAAAACTCTTGAGTGAAAGGAGCCATGTAATATACCAGCCAGTCTGAAGTACACTGTGAGATACTGTGTCAAAAAATGAAGTAGTAGTAGGGTGAATAAAATTCCTCATGAGCTCTTACTACTTTAAGATATACCTTAATACCCTTGAGAATAACTTATTTTTGAAAAAAAATATTCTACTAAATAGGACAAATTCTTCAACAGAGTACAGAAAAGTAATGAACAATCCAACAGAGATGTTTTAAAGACACTTTTTCATTAGAAAAGGAATGTGACAACAGCACAGCTTGTTACTACACAGTGATCATTTCAAGTGTCGCCCAAGGGTACTACTCTGTTATCTCCCATTTTAATTTCTCACCATGCTTCTAAAGAGAATTTGTGAGTAGCAATTAATTATTGGAGCCTAAGAGAAAATACTACCTGACGGGTAAAGTTCATTTTAAAAATAATATAAATAGCTATTTAAAACTATGCTTTTCCTCTTAACAAACCATACATAAGGATAACTATGCAATAATATTTAGAACAGGAATGTTCAAGGCCTTTAGATACTCCTCTAATAGTATTATGGTTGGGAATATAGGTGGAAAATTCTTAATTCATATCGTTGACTGAGATAAATAGGGGATAAAAGTATTTTCAACCCTATTTATGGGAAGTCCTAGTGAATTTCCCAGAAATACAATCCCTTCAATTCTTTCTCAATAGCAAACAATTCCAAATATTGTTCTACTTTCACTATAGGAAAAATGAGTAAGATTCTTGAGGTAGATCAAGATTATTATATATTCACCCTTCACCTATCTATTTGATACATTTACCAATTACCAATTAAAATCAGTTACTGAACATCTACTATCATCTCTGTGCTGGGCCCCAAAGCTCATTTGTATATGTCTATAGACACTAGAAAACTGAATACTTGTTGTAATAACAGAACTCAAAGAGCTTACAGTCTTCTGGTAAAATGGCTTGTTTATATGAGGTTGACTACAGTATTTGTGAAAAGTCCCACAAGATAGATACAAAATGCACACAGGAAGGGAGTCTCATTGCCAGCTCAGATTAAGAAAGGCTTCCATAAAATGGAGTATTTGGGATAAACCTGATGGACAGAAGAGTCTAGAAGGAAGGGTATTCTGGAAAGGAAAAAACAACTAGAAAGAGATCATCAAAAATGCAGATTTTAGAAAAGGAAACAAGCACAAAAGTCTTAGAAACACTTAGAAATGAGATAAAACAGAAAAGGTACTAGTAAAAAGAGAAGAAAAATCAATGAGGTCAGAGGACAACAACTTCTGGGAAAGAATAATTGCACAGCAGACAAGAAAGGACAGAATTAAGAAAGGAGAAAGCGGAATGACAAAGTAGCTCAGTGGACTAAGCACCTGCATAGGCAAGCACAGGGACTGGGGTTTGATCTCTGGCACCACTCCGGCACCAACCCCAGCCCCAGGTGCACTGAGTTGGCCACCAAGACGATGGCCAGGACTACAATCCTAGTGCTGAGGAGGCTGAAAACAGGAAGATTACTACATGTCTCAGCTGCGTAGTGAGACCCTGTCCCAAATACATTAAGAAAAGAAAGGAGAAAAGATGGAACTCTCCAGTGCCACAGATCAGACAAGGTAAAAAATGAGAAAAAGGGGGTGGAGGAGGAGGTGGCTAAGATGTTTCTGATTAGTTGAGATTTAAGAAAGATGTTTCACTAGGAATAACAAGATTCAGTTTGCAAATAGATAATGGAATAGGCACAGATTAGCCTTGCATTTACAGTAATGACAGTAACAGGGTAATAGTTTAAAAAGTAAAGTTTAAAAACACGTATTGGAAAAACATAAGTGTATTCATAGAAAAAGGAAATTCCAGCAAAGAAAATATGGAGGAAACTGAGGGTGGAGAGATAGTGCAGAGGCATAAGCACCTCCCAGAAAGTACAAGGTCCCAAGTCTGATCCCAGACCCACATGTCATATGGGCCCCGGAACCACGAGTGGTGGTGCACACCTGTAACCCCATCACACCAGACTTTGAGACAAGAGGATTGCCACAAGTTTGAGACCAGCCTGGGGGCTACAAACAGTGAGGACAAGGCCAAACCAAACTGTGCAGCAAGACCCTGTCTCAAAAAAAAAAAAAAAAAAAAAAAAAAAAAAAAAAAAAAAAAAAAAAAAAAAAAAAAAAAAAAAAGGAAAATAAAAAAGAAAGAAACCTGAGAAATAATATCTTAATGGAATATGAAAGAAGTTAACCTTAAAATGACTGAAAGAGAGCAATTTCTCCCTCTAAGACAAGAAGGAGGAAAGATACATGAGAAGCAGAAATTTTCCAAAACAAAATTTTTTCAGGAATTATGCAAAAGGACTCATCAAGAAAATTTCAAGTTTCTTAAAAAGCATAATAAATTATCCAAAGGACTATGGCAAGAAGAGTGAAGATGTTTTAAAAGAGATACTGTTAAATAGTCATAGAGATCAACAAGAAGAGAAACAATTATCCAGTAAAAAAGGCACCTAAAGTTAGAATATATGAATTCATAACAGATTAAAATGAGACTGTTTTGAATATTTTTGAACATCATTAAGAAAGCTAACACCTAGAAGACTAGTGGAGAGGAAGCCTCTAATTGGAATGTGGCAAGATGCAATGTGAAGAATCAGGAAGTGAGAGGCACTTTAACATGAGCGCTGTCAAAATTGCTGATGAAGGGATTCGATTTGGGATTTATGCATGAGAAGTCACAGAGAAGTCCAGGAAATTAAGGGAGGAAAGAACACAACAAAAAATGGAAAGCGGATTTCAGAAGAAGAAAGACGGATTGAAGAAATTTTCACACTGCACTTCCTCCTGGTTACTGAGTACATTAGATTTTTAAAACACTATAAAGTAACCTAATTTAGAAAAAGATTTCTGAAGTTTGAATCCACAGGTGTGATTTCAATGCTGGGCCCATGACTTCTTTGCAAATCATTTAATGTCTTTGAACTGTAAACATGAAGCAAAAATATTGCTTTTATTATTTATTGTTTATTAGGTTTTCTGTTTGTTTGTTGTACTGGGGATTGAACTCAGGAGCCTGCACTTGCTGGGTAGGCACTTATGCCACTGAACTATGTCCCTGGCCTACTGTTCATTAGTAACTATTACTAGTTACTCTTAGTAACTACTTCATTGCTTACTATTAGTAAGAATTAGTAACTACTTCATGAGGCTTACAAATGATAATGGAAAGAACAGCTTGGAAAACTATAAAAACCTATGCACTATGTCATTCATTGTGATTGTTATTTTAAAAGCACCTTTTACTATTATGATGACTGGGGAGGGTTGAGACAGTCTTGCTATGTAGCCCACATTGGCCTTGAACTCACAGCAAGCCTCCTGCTTCAGGCTCCCAAGTCCTGAGATCACAGTCATACCTGGCAAATGCCCATTTTAAATTTATTTTTTCATCATATAGTTAACAGGATGAGGAGATGGCTCAGTAGAATAAGTGCTTCCCTGACAAGCACAAGGGCCTGAGTTCAATCCCCCGTACCACCAAAAAAAAAAAAAAAAAAAAAAAAAAGATAATTAACAATAATTATTACAGAAACTGTTATTAGCTGTCTTGTTAAGAAAAGTTATAATAAACCAAACCAAAAAGTTTTAAAATGTAAAAGGGATTTTCTTTGCCTTTATAAATTAGGAATTAGGTTTTTATTTTAATTGCTAATATTTTATATAGCTAGGTCAAATTCCATAAAAAATATACACAGTAGATATTTTAATTTGAAAACAATTCTTACTAAAAAATTTTTACCAAAATTTGTCCTGTAATTTGAGTTGAGATTTCTTTGGCATCCAAGACAATTGACGGTGGGAGTGATGACACCTCTGCAGCTTTTAATCCTATAATTATATTTTAAAAGATTTGATATTGTTATTGCTGTTTTTAAATATTTGTTTTAACTAATATTAATCCTCACAGCTTTGAACTGACCGTCTACAAGCATTTCTGAACTACTCAATAATTCTCAAAATTACATTTTTGAAAACACTGGATAACAATTTACCAAATATTAGATTTAATTACATGTCTAAACATAGAAGGCAAATTACCTCTCAAAGTACCTCTGACTTAGTAAGATGGAAAGAGACAGGAAAAATAACATAAAAATCCCAATTGGAAATACAACTGGTTAGTAGAAGGTGGAGGGATTCACTGTGCCAGTTTTCAGGAGAGGGGAGGGCATAGCTGTAGACATAACTCTACAGACTAGAATTTCTCAGAAGATACAATGGTAGATGACTGATTTGTATTCAAATTTAAAGTATCAGCACTTTTTCTGCCATTTTTGGAATTTAATTTTATTGTATAAATGCCATATAGGCTTTCTACTGAATGTCATATTTACAAACACAGGGGAAGATCAAAAGATATAGTGAATGTTTTAAGTTTTAAAAAAAGTCATAGTAAAAGACACATAACCAAGGATGATTGGTAAGTGTGTTCAAAGGAAAAGGAATATTATGAATATTTAAGGAAGATTAATGGCCTCATGTGTTTTACTATAATAAATTTTCAAATTTAAACATCCAGCATATATCAGCCCTCATGGATTGACTGTTTTATGGCAATTTCTCTCAAATAAAAACATTATGGTGTCCTCATCCACCTTATTCACCAGATTGGCACCGTGCGACTTCTCTCTCTTCCCCAAAGACAAAATGACCATAAAGGGTACACACTATGAACAGACTCAGGTACCAACATATTTTTCTTCTAATATATGTATATAAAATGTGAGTTGGACAAGAAAATACAATCTGAGAATATATATGGGGGAGGGAGAGAGAGAGAGATGGAGAGGAAGAGAAGGAGAGAGGGAGAAAGGGAGAAAGGGAGAGAGGGAGAGAGAGGGGAGGGGGGGAGAGAGAGTTGGTTAGATTGACAGCAAGTATAGGAGAGAAGAAAGTTTCTCTTAGGAAAATACGAAGTATTTCAATATTCCTCAGTTTATTTTGTGGTGCTGGGGATCAAACCCAGGGCTTTGCACATGCTAGACAGGTATCTACCATGAAGTTACACCCCAGCTCGAATGTATAAGTGTAATTTTTATATTCAATACCATAATTCTTTTCTTCTGTAAGTCCCTTAGAAAGTTTGTAGGTATAAAAAATTGCTTCTTTATTTCTTGCGATATTCTTTACATGCTCAACTTCAAAATGCATATTTTCTACATTAGGATACAGGACATCGATATGACAAAGTTCCAGGAAATGTGTAGCAAACAGTGTAAATGCCTAAATATGTAAAACAATGAATATTAGTGCTTTTTAAATGAACTAAAACTTCTATCTTAGCTATTTAGACTTAAAACTTTAATTTTCCAACTAGCTTGGCAGAAATATAGAAATGAAACTAAAACTGGAAGCTAACATGATCAATCTATTTTGAAACACTTTGAAATTTCATATTCATGAATTAGCACATTATTATGTTTGCATAATTCATTACATCATAGGAAAGAATGAATCAAAAAGTAAATCATAAGAACTATACCTAATGATATGAAAAGATGAAGTTTATCAGAAACATAAAGCTATTAACTGAGGTAGTCATTTATTAGGGAAGGGAATCTATATACATAATCTTGATGTTTCCCTAAACTTTTCAAAACCTCATTTTTAAGGTAAAGCCCACTCCCATAAGCAGTTTTTGGAAAGTAGAATCAATGAATGGATTGTATTAGGTATTGGAAATTCCCAAAGTGAGTAAGTGATTTTTTTTTATCATTTGTTTATTTATTTATTTAGTGGTACCAGGATCGAATCCAGGACAAAGTCTACTAAACTTTTATTGTTACTAAAGCAAGTAGAAATATGAGTCATATATGTTTTAAGATATTACAGATAAAAAACTAAATAAATAGAGACCCAGTCCTAGCCCAGGTCCGGTGAGTGTGTGGAGAGCTTCCTGCTACCCTGCGCCAGCGGGACCAGTCCCAGCCCAGGCGCAGCGTGGAACAGACCCTCTCCCACCCCCTCGGGCCGTGCCCCACCCCTCCCGCCCAGTAGGAATTTCTGCCGACTTCCGGGAA